ATACAACGAAAGGAGACTGCGACCACACAAAAGGCCACACCATCTTGGTCTTCATACCTTCGACTAAAGATTTGTTTAAGCCTAGTCTTAGTTCCGTTTAAGGAGTGTAGCTTTGTAATGTTTTTCTTACGTCCAATAGCAACCAAATCATGGCATATGTCCAAAAGATCAGTCTTAGTCTTACAAGATAAATTAGGTGTGGAAATTTTACAAATTTCTAGGCACATTTCTACAGGCAGAGCAAACTTTCGAAAGATCAATGTGATTGACTTGCCTGGCCAACGAATGGTGAATTCGGAAAAGATTGAAAACCGTACGTAGAAAATTGGGCTCGAGTCTAGCTAGGACCATCATACTTCCCATGACATGAGCATTACATACACACAATAGAAAATAGTGCAAGCCTAAGCAGGAATGAACATTTAAGGATCGTAAACGAGTTTGTTTGTATAAGGAAACAGCTACCACCGAGCCAACCAAATCATGGGATGTGAAGTGAGATGTATAATATAGAGGCTAGGGTTGCGGTTTAGTACATTTTTGCTCTAAAATTGTCTGCGAGCCGACGACTTCTTCGCACAATTCGACAGTCTTTCCTAAGCGGCAATCCTTCTTCAGTTTCCAGTCAGACCACATCAAGAATTCTTTCCAACCGACTATCCTTTCGAAATTGAATTTCATATTACAACATTTCATATCTTTGCATTTTACGATCGACATGCTATCTACCCCTAATGAGCGAAAGCTTATCACGTACCGAAATTGAAGTTGCCTTGGAGACAGCTCCATCAGAATGATCAAAACAGACCAAACAATACCCGACCAAGAGGTATCCACCCTCCTATCATAGCAAGATAGAGATTCGATTCTCTTTATCGCATACTTTAATCCGAAATGGAATTGAGCTCAACTATTGGAGTATAACATTAAGGTTCGAGTTCGTCAAGTTGGATGATCGAAGCCTTTATTTCAATAGAAGAGGCTGAGGACGTCTAGACTCAACACTCGCTTTGAATGCCTACTTTGTTTTAATCTTATGGCCTTACTTCGTGAGATGCTTTGGCCATCTTTGACTATACATCAGCCAACCGTAATGGAAAATGCTATCTTTTATAGATTCGAAACTACCTTTAACGACGCATAGTAGAATTTAGATTGTAAAAAGGTACTAGTCGGTAGAAAGCGTCAGAGTGGATGCAAATACAACGTTGCTTCTTGTTTAAACTGGTTTAATTGCCGAATTTTTTTCAGAAGATTTACCGGTATTACCTATATTTAGAATAATGTTATTTTGATTGATTTAACCTTAAAATAAGTCGTTAATCGGGTTTACAGGAAACCAACGAAGGACTGTCTCTAGGCCGTTGTGACTACAAATGTGAGAATATACCTTTGGTACACCGTCTTGAACTTGACCTGATACAAATTAATCTGATGTAGTTTTACGTTGAAGAAATGTTTAGCAAATAAGGGACGAATGCTGAATATGACCAAATAATGGCGCGCACAGTAGCTTCGCACAGATCTTCCAAAAGCCAAAGCAATCTTTGGGTTTCCGGTGTGGTCAATTTACGGTTACATTCCGCCGACTTTTTCATATAAACCGAAAGATGAAACTACAGTTTTTGTATACTGAGAGTGCAGATTTGGTAAATTCATTTTATTTATTACATTATTTCTATTCAACCTACTATTCCATCGTGTCATTTTCAATTTAAGTATGTGAATGAATTATTTATTCAAGAATTACATAAATCTTTGCAGCCTACTCACATTAATGATAAGTAGCATCGTCGACTATAATGACTTGGTCATTCTTGAACGTGTTGTCAGGGCGACTTAGTTCGACGTACCTTGTCAGAAGTCCTCAAGTTTACAATAGATCCATGATCCAGGAGTTTCATTTTTGCCTATCCTGCATTATTCTTGTTTTCTCCTAGTTTCTTTAAGCAATATCCAAATTTATCGCTAATTCTTCTTTCATCCAATCTCCTGTTCATTACATTTTTTCCTCAAGTATGTCAATGGGCTCCCTAATTTTCCGTTTAGTTGTGTTTTCACCTACTTTCAGTTGCCATCCAATTGATCTCGTGTCCAGTCTGTGCAATGTGTTTCGCTACATCTGATCTTTCGCTATTCATTTTCCTACAGATCCTTTGATGCTCCTGAATTGGTATGTTTGTTTTCTCCCTAACATTTTCTCTAAACTATTTCTTTTCGCAGGCTCCAAATGGTATGCAATAGACTCTTCAATGTCATAGTGCATTGCATTGAGTAGCCCGAAATGTCGGAGAATTTGTAAATCAACAGTTATTTATTCAGAATCTGGTGTGAAAGCTGATTATAATTAAAAGATAGAATAGCTTTGCATATTCTGACTACGTGGTGTAGTACAGATATTATAAACTAATTAGTAAGACGTCTTTTCGTGAGTTTCTTGCTCGAGTCTTTGATAATTAAGATGTAAAGTATTGTCATTTACGAGCTGTATTCACCATATTTCGTTAAGGTGATGACGGACTGGCAGTTGGATTCCAGACTACCAGTAGATCATTTTTTATGCTGTCCTATATAATGAAACACAAAAGTGATTCATCGACAACTCCACCACAGAATGTGACATGGCTTTCTGGGAAATCAACATCCGCTCTATGACCCAAGGGGACTCGTGACAACGTGGCGTGCTGGCTAATCTTTCGACTTTGTATACTGTAATACCAGGGTTCGAGTCCCGCCGGAGGCACCGATGAGACCAAGACGAGGTCGAATCAGTAGCTCGTTCATGTCTGGAGGAGAATGGCTTTTAGGAAACGTGACGCATGTTCACATGTTTGTGGTAAAATTCAACTACCAATTCTTCATCAGCTTAACGAAATTGGGTGAATATATCTTATATATACTACTATTAGTAATCTACTAGTAGTATCAAAGATTTACTCATAAACGGTTTTATTAAAACTCCAATTCACACAATATGTAAGTAGACCAAGATTTTAATTAGACATAAAGATCAAAGCAAAAATCACAAACAAGTGAATCAAGACGAAGCTGATCCTCAATTCAATTTGGCCTCCATTTTATGGAATATAAGCAGTTTCTGATAAAAAATTAAAATTCTTTCTACATCTCGCTAAAAGCTGTATATCACATAATAAAACATGTGTTGGAAAGTGATACAGGTAGGGGTCAGTATTTGGCTAAAGCATATTTATATAGGATTTTGTCAATTAAAAGAGAAAATGTTGATATGATTTTATTGATAGTATCCAAAAATTCCTATATTGGACGCAAATGGTCAGTTAGCTAAAAGTCTAACCTAATAAAATCCTCCTTTAAGGACTGTCACTATGCGAGTAATCTACTTCGCGACATCTGCCAACCAATAATCTTTGGGCTGGACATTTCGAGGTTGGCGTTTTGAGTATAAAATAGCGAAAATGGACGTCTCTGGCAAACAACTTCGTCTTGCCAGAGCCGAGCTACACCTACTTTAGCCGAACGGAGAACATTTTAACAACTTTTCTCTCATGTGCAACAGCTACCTTAGCCTGGTTACGCTCTGTTTGGTCTCGCTGACGTCGGTCGACCGCGTTTCGACAGTCAGTTCAGCCTTCCAGCATTTGCCTCGGACTGCGAGACGGTCTGTACCTGACGACGACTCGTGGATTTATCGGTACGTGGATGGCGGCCATGCAAGGCTGGCGCGGAATCGGGAGTCTGTGGAAGATAAGGCACTGCGAGAGTCGAGTGTACCGATCTTTCCGGAGTTTGGCGATTATGTCGGCAGCCGAGAGGATGTGGAAGAATTGACAAAATTGAGACGATTGTTCTACGAGCTGACGGCAATGAGTATGGACAATCTACGTGAGTACGTGGCCTATATCTCTTCGTGTTGCTTGCGCGAGGTGAATCGCTCGTATGGAGGCGGACATTTGTGGGGCCAATGTTGCCGTAGAATGCAACAGATCACGTTCATCCAACATCTTATAGCCGTTGGTTTGATAAAGTCCACGTAATCTGCCCATGCCGATCCTCATTTTCTGTCCATTTGGGCCTTTAAGGTCTTTTAGACAAATAACTTAAATATTTGTTGAATTTTCAATACCCGCCACAATAATGACTACTTGTACTGTGTGATGTGCTTTTTAATTAAGTGATCAAATATAATCTTTGATGGTCAGAAATTTCTTTCAATTAGCGGAAATAAACTACACTCATGATGCCTTTTAAAATGATTAACATTTGAAGACCAAGATATTGTGGCCTCCGGTATGGTCGCAGTCTCGTTGTCGCAACTTGGCCTTGTTGTCAGGGCGACTTAGTAGAAGGTACCAAGTCAGCCATCTGATGCTGGGAATCATGACAACTAAGACCATGACGGACCAGAAGTCGAAGAGGGTACGGAATTTCAGAAATGAGCAGCATGAGAAGAAATTGCTTTTTTATGGGATAATAAGACGGACAGTTTTGATGGTTCTGTATCAAAGGCATCAACTAAGGTAGCAAAACTAGCTTCAATCCCTCTTGATTGAGAAATTACGGATCACTTAAAGAAGGGTCTTCCTAGGTGACGAAGCAAATGGTCTTAGTGATAGTCTGGTGGAATATGTCAACATACTGGATAATATCGAGAAAAGACAAAGCGGGAGATGAAAATGGAAATAATCCCACGAATCCTGGTACATCAAGAACCGATACACAGAAAAAATGACCAGATCATGACGGATCAGAAGTCGCAGAGAGTCCAGGATTAGATACATAAGCAAGAAATGACAAGAAATTGCTAATTTATGAGCCTATAAGACGGCAAGTTTTGATGGTACTGTATCGACGGCATCAACTAAGGTGACAAACGTAGCTTAAATCCTTCTTGATTGTGAAATTACGGATCACTTGAAGGAGAGATTTTACTTTTTCCTAGTTGACGAAGAAAATGGTCTTAGTGATAATCTGGTGGAATATGTTAACATTCCGGATAAATATCCAGAA